CATTATTTAATTTCCAATTATATAATTCACTGTTGTGAAGTTTGATAATTATTACAATTACAACATATATTTAAATAATTCAAGTTGATATATCATATAGTTTTGACATGGTTATCACGGATGTAAATTTTATTATTTTACAAAATGAAATTTCATAAATATTTATAAATTTGTTTTCATTCATGAAATAAAAACGAGTTTAATAATAAAAATGAACTGGATTGCTTTTAAAAACAATAGATTTATAAAGATTTGTAAATACTTCTTATGCAATAAGAATAATAATAACAGAGAATGGTTATCACTTCCGGTGCATTTGGCCTTATCGATAACTGGTCAGGAGCTATTGCTCAAATTTACGCCCGAACGCCCTGTTTATACAATTTACGGCCTATCTAAATGTCAATATGTTTCTTGTTTCAATTAGTTAAATCACTTTAACATTCAATACAAAAGGAATTAATTGCAATACGATAATGGTTTCCGAAATATAGCGCTAGCAAAATTACCTGTTTTCCCAACGAAAGATATCTGCCACAAGCCCTGTCAGTCCGGTGAAAAAGTTTATTTTGTAATGATCGTCCTCCTCGTGGGCACAAAATAGACTATAGGAAGTTCATTGTCTCTCCCTTACATAGACAAAGAAACGAAATCTAAACATGACCCTGTGACCTACCGGCATTGACCGGTCGCCGGTTAATGGTCTGTTTCTCGCATCCGAAAAATCGACCGGCGCGCGCAGCTTAGTGAAGTGCCTATTCATAGTCATATGATATTAATGATATACTGGTATTTTCTTTGGGTGATCGTAAAAGTAAAATGTAAATATTCAACTACACGAAGAATGTTGAAATACAATAGAATATCACTTAGTATTCATAATGTTTCTCTTAAACATGTTACATACACTATACATGCGCTTTCAGAAACTTTAAGTTTGTTTTCTAATGTCTAATGTCTTATTACTAAATTTACCGGTATTTTCAAAGTCTAAGGCCGGCACAACTTGTTGAAAATGATCAATAAATTGATCGTGGGCCCTTAAGATATAGAAGAAGAAACACTTATATATATATATAGATCTTCTCTAACAAGCATATCTTAAAACAAGGCCAATGGTACATTTTTGCAGCGGTGTACCCAGGCCAAAGCCCACGATTTCGCTAGTAACGCCGCCGCGGTTTACGCCAAGGCCGATGGTTTCGCTAGGTACACCGCCGGGGTGTACGCATCCACTTCGTTAAAACATTAATGCCTCTTGTATTTCCCTACAAATTTATATGAAACATTAGACATGGATTCTAAAAGTAATTGACTTTTGTAAGGTCACTACATATCTCAAAAATAACAATGCCTAATTCAATCTATATATTAATAATATCATTATTACAAAAGTCTAAGTGAGTGAAAGTGAAAAGATAAAATTTTACTATGCCTCTTTAATCTTTAACTTTAACTATTTAGAAACCAAATTTCAGCAGGGTTTCCGTTACAAAGTGTCAGTCTTAACCAATCGTTCTTTTGTTACCAACATAAGTACCCACTCGGCTCCTAGTATGTACTTTAAAAAAATCTTTGACTCATCGGGTACGGTAATTGTTCATTGTTTACAATCGTCGTCGTCACTATCGAAAACGGGTAGGTTTTTTTGTTGGTTAAGTGAAAGTCCCCGCCGGTTGCGTGAAGTGATGTAAAGTAATTAAATTATATATTTACTGTTGAGATATTGTTCACTACAATTTACCTGCTGTAACTGCAATTCATAAGTTTTCAGATCTTCTAAGCTAGCCATTTCAGAGCTAAATTAATAACACGAATTTCTGCTTTGGGTAAGTCTAAGACTACTGATACTGGTAACTAGACTCTTCCAAGATTTTAAAGTGATTGCTGTAATTCTGAGATTTTCCTTTTAATATATTATGAAAATTGATACGTAACTTTTTAAGCTTCAAAATACCAATTAAAAGATGTTATTTTTTTCTGTTACTTAGATTATGTTTACAACACAAATTGATGTTGTTTTAATACAACTAGGCCTAAATTTAAAATATATAATAAGCTAAATCTGGGTAGCACATTAAAGGGAGCGAATCAACATTTTAAAAAATATAATAATTGTATGTCTAGCTATTTGCATATCTCTTCATGATAATTTATAACCAGATTTCATTATTTATTTATATTATTAAAGTAATTAATTAGACAATCTCTAATATTTTATATTTACAACTAAACTAATTATATATGAAAATAATTATAAGAATAAGCAAAACCTATCAGGGTGGCCGTGCGAAAGGACGTCTCCAAAATCGTAAACTGCGCATATGCTTCATATTATATTTAACAGTTGTATAGGCCTATCAACCTTGATCAATTCTGTGGTTCATTCACAATGTATTAGTATTTAATTCGGCAGTTCATTATGATTAATAGAATAAAATGTACAGTTTAACAAGCTAAAATTTTCATGGTTTTGAATCGTTATGTGGGAGCACGGGGTGGGGGCGTACGTTTTTCTTTTTATGAGCAGAAGTTTAGATTCCCGTGCCATGCTACGAAAAGAAAGTATTTCTCTTTTGGAGCAAAAAGTGGGAGAAAGGTTGGGGGGGGGGGGTGAATTAAAAAAATTGGACACAATTTTTTTTCCATTTCCTCCACTTTTATCCGATATTGGAACTGAAAGAAAATTAAAAACATTGTCTTTTTTCTACAGACACGGTATCGCCTTTTATTAGATTCCCGTGCCATGCTACGAAAAGAAAGTATTTCTCTTTTGGAGCAAAAAGTGGGAGAAAGGTTGGGGGGGGGGGTGAATTAAAAAAATTGGACACAATTTTTTTTCCATTTCCTCCACTTTTATCCGATATTGGAACTGAAAGAAAATTAAAAACATTGTCTTATTTCTACAGACCCGGTATCGCCTTTTAATCAGAGCAAGTTCATAGGCATGTGGGGAAAACAGTATAAACAACAACAAAAAATCATCCAAAAATAGCGAGGTTGTCATGTAAGGTCGACATATGAGCGACTTTTGTTATTTTTATGACGTAGGCTTGACAGAAAATAAACAGTTTAAAAATTGTTAAAGCTTGAAAATATACAACAAAAAAACAAATCCTGGGGCGAAAAAAAAAGTTTCAAATAAAATTAATAGAAGTTTTTAAAACTTTATTTATTTGTTTGTTTTAAAGTCAACTTTGAATTAAGGAATCCAAAAACCGAAAAATTTCAGCAGTCAGCAGGGCTCCAAAAGAAAGGCGACGGCCCTGTGTCTTTCTACTGCTTCAACTTCAACTGCCACCGTAAAAGTAGCTAGTCATTAGTCATTGGACATGATACGGTAATGCAGCTTTGTGTCAGTTCGGTTTACCACCGCGGTTAGCGTAGTGCAGTGCTACCACTCAGATTATCTTTTAATGCACTGGTTAAATCAATAAATTTCGACAGATTTCCCCATACTAACAAAAATAATTTAAAAACTCTAGAAATAACACCCTTTGGTCACCATTTCACTTGGATCCCCCAATATATTAGACAGCCGTGCAAGCGTGACAGTTAATTGCTATATTCATGCATAGACTGATCCATTCAATCCACTGTGGAGCGGCTGCTAATTACTGGCTGGGCTCGGTGACCATTATCAGGGCTGTCTAAACCAACAAACGCTGAACTTAAAAAAAAAAAACTGTGCATTTGTCAAATGAAATGAAATTGCAAAATAATTAGTTTTGCCTTAATTTATGATTATTTTTTTTTTAAAGAGATATACATAAATTCTTCAAATGACAATTCTTTCAGATCTTCCTTTCATATGACATATCATGACTATGACGATTGAAAATTACAAAAGTTAGTTACTCCATATTTTGATTTACGAAGTATTTTATTTTTAATTTAAAGATATTTTTACTCGATTTCTCTAGATTTTCAAAAGTATGCCTCGGGGGTTGGGGGGGGGGGGGGGGGGGATCCTAAAATCCCAAGACTTAAAAAAAAAAAAAAAAATTTAGTTACTCCATATTTTGATTTACGAAGTATTTTATTTTTAATTTAAAGATATTTTTACTCGATTTCTCTAGATTTTCAAAAGTATGCCTCGGGGGTTGGGGGGGGGGGTGAGGGATCCTAAAATCCCAAGACTTAAAAAATATATAAATAATAATGTAACAACATCATCATCAATGGCACTACAGACCATGTAGGGCCCTGGCCTGCTCCACCACATCCTTCCATTCGGAGCGATCCATGGCTTTCCGTCTCCATGCTCGAACCCCCAACTGGTGTAAATCTGTATGGCATGGGTCAAAATCCATAAATATCAGTCCGTTTTTCTGATTGTGGTTTTACTTTCGTAACATTAGCTTTTTTACGTGACAGGGTCGTCAGCCCCTTGCAGCTCTCAGGGTAGTTGCCTTTGTATTGGGTCGGGTCCCTAGCCTTTGTGGATCCCTCCACTTCCTACAAGGCAGTAGGTACTGATTTTGGGTATTTTATTTCCCCGGTACCCTCCTTATCTGGTGGGCTTTCCCCTATCCGCCACCTGGGGAGGCGCTCGATGGAAGATCAGTATCTCCTCACGACAATAATGTAACAACGCGTAAAGAAATTTCCCAAGGTTTAAAGAAATATCCCGAGGTCTGGCAACACTGACGACCTAAAAATAAACAATTGTAACCCCGGAAGTAATTGTGAATTTCGTTGATTTGTGCAATTGCATGACACAAACATCTATTTATGGGTGGGGACTTATCAATAAGTTAATTATTTGTTAGTGTATCAACACTCGTACGTATATATAGATTAAGTGCACATTTAAGTAACGCCTAGTATTTACAGTTAAGTTTAAACGAGACTGGTAAGTTCAGTACGAATGAAATATAATTAAATTATTTGGTCAAATTTTCTTTCAACTGAAAATCAGAAAATTAAGATTAAGAGTAGTATTGACAATATTTTAACTATATTGAATTGCATCTGCATAGTAAATTGTAGGCTACTAAAACTATTACTAATTAATCAATTAATTATGACATCACAAGTTATCATGACATTCATTTAATATTTAAGTATAATTTACCGATTCGCAAGAACAGGCTGCCACCAGAACGTCTACTGCATTTTTCCATTATAATTATACATAGACATAAGATCAGTGGCCTAGTAATTAGTAATTAAAATATATTTTCTGTCCATTAGTTAGTTCACTTCATTCAGAAAAACATAGGCTACATAATAAGCTTGTACGGATATTTCTTTTATTCTTTGTTTAGGTTTTTTTTGAAGGCTTTTTCAAGAAATTTTAGAATCAACAGGAACTTCATTTATTTAAAGACCCCAATAAGTTTGGAGAAGCTATTTGTATTATTCTGCCAAGTCAATAAGCCTGGACTATAATTTAAACATGTCATCAGGACCATCAACAACAGTACAAAATCCAATAGTCGTGCCAAAAATGTGTCCCTGGGGAAAAATAGCATCTGTTCCAACTCCTTGTTCTCTTGAAGATGTTATGAGCGAACAGCTTGCATCAGAAATCGACACATTGGAGCAAAAAGATATAAACACAGCCATTTTAGCTGAACATTTGTTTTTTGATGAGGCTAAAAGCAGGTAAAATAACATCTTCTTCATTCAACCGATGATAAAAAAATTTATTTACACCCAAAATAATTGACAAACGTAAACGTTTTTTTCAGTACCAGTATGCTAACTATTAAAAAGTGCAAATATATTTTCTGGCTATATTACATTTTAATATTAAACATGCATTATTCTTGAAGTAAAAAAAAAATTTCCCTAATGCCGATTTTCAGTGAAGCTGTAGCAGGTGAAACCAACAGTTTAATATCTGATGAGGCGTTGGCTGCTAAGTTGGCGGCTGAAGAGCTTGGTGAGCATCCAGATGATGAAATTATAGCGCGTTACCTACAGATGGAATTCGACAAAGAATATGATGCGATGATCGATAAAGTGGAAAAAAAGCACAATGGCACAAGTAAAGGTAATGTTAGTTCATTGTTATGCATACTTTTCTTTTTCTGCGCTGCAGGCAAAGGTTACTGATTTTAAATTATGTGTATATGTACAGTATGTACATTTATTATCCTGAAAAAAGACATTGCTCTGATTGAGAAAGGAAAAAACAACAACATATGTGATGTATGTTGGATAATAACTTTTATAATGTAAATGGATCGGCTCGTAGGACAAAATATGTTTGCACAAATTCATAGCCCAGATCCCAAAGACACAAGAAATTGCCTCTTCAAGACAGGAACAGGTCAAAATATTTTACTTGCACACAGGACACAGCCAATTAAACTCACACCTAAACCATATCAAAGTATTCAAAGCATCTTTGTTGGATTTCTGCAAACATCTGAATGAGATAGTACAGTATCACCTAAATATAAGACGCATCCTATACAGGGTGAATCTTCTATATGGATGTGTCTTCTAATGTAAAATATTTTTTTTTTAAATCTTCAAAACCCTTGTCTTATACATGGGTGTGTCTTATAATTAGGTCTGTCTTATATGCACGAAAATACGGTAAGTATTTTTAACACGAATGAACAGTACAGACAATTCTTTGATTTAACAGTAAACTAAGAATAGTTTATGAAGCCTTGTTTACATCCGACGGGTGATGAAACATTGGACAAATTTTCATTTATGATGAAGGAAAAGAAACCGCTGGATATTAGTTGCTCAGTGGGGCAGATGGCTGGGCTGCATGCGTCTTATTTAATATTTTTTACACAAATCATCAAAACCCGGTTCTTATCTATGAGTGCCTCTTATGTAAAATATTGCTCACAAAAATTGTCAAAACCCGCATCTAAAATGAGTGCGGCTTACGTAAAATATTTCTTAAACAAATCGTCAAAACCCCCGTCTTATATATGGGTGAGTCTTATATGCGCGAAAATACGGTGAAACAGATGCTTCATTATCACTTCTTCCACTGCCCAGCCTTTCAGGATATACTCTATAATTATCATCAACAATTTTGAGACTTCACATATACTCTGAAAACAAAGACTAACTGAAGACCTGCACATTCTTTCACAGGTTGTTATGATGAAAAACTTACGTTATGGTATTAATTTTTTTTTAAAAAGGGTTTGATATTTTTCTTCCTTTCTATTTTCTAGTGTCAATATCCTTTGAAAATTACAAAATGAAACATCAGCGTCAGGAAGTCACGGGACAGGATGAAGAAGACAGCTGCGAGGAGGATTATCCTGAGTTTCCAACACTGACGACCTGGAGTAATTTTTTTTTTTTAATCTAACCTTTTCAAATTACTTAAAAACTTCCATTGTTATAAATTGAAAGATATGAATTCATTTCTGAAAAATTACACAAACTTGAAATAGTTGAAATTGTCAAAATGCTTAAACTTGGATCAATATTGTATTTTTTTTTTAAAATTTAGGCTCTCCTAACCCTAGTATTGGAGGCAAAGGATACATAGGTCAAGGCAAAAATATAATCACCAAGCATGATAGTGAAATATGTGGCAGGCGTAATGCTGAGCGGCTTATGGATGTAAGTTTTCGAAAATTAACTTAGCAACCTTTTAAATGTATGTAAAAGTTGACAATACGTTAGATTTTCATTTTCTTAGTTGAAAATTTATTTTTATTTTATAAACAAAATAATATTCTGTTTTTGTTGGTCTATGAACTTGGCTTTATTCCAAATAAGAGCATGATGTCATTTATTTATGTGTGGTATGTTTATATAGATCTAACAGTTGATTATTTGTGCCCCAGTTCCCTCCTGACTTTGAGTGCGGAGATGGAGAGGGAATGGACATGCGCCTTCCAAATCATGTCTACAATAAGTTGAAGTCACATTCAGTGGTGGAAAATAAGAAAAGCCACAAGATTCATGAAAAGAAAGACCATTCCACTGCTGTATGTAAAGAGTTAATCAAACTCTTTTATTCAAATTCTTCTAATCAAATTTTTTTTGCACCTCCTTTTGATTATTTTTAAATTCCCATTGTTCATTAATTTTTTATGGATTGTGTTTTGAATATTGTAATGTGAGATTTTTTAAATATTCTATCACTATACATATAAATAAAGAAAATAGTCAATGAGTTTTGCAGAGATTGTCAATCTAGCTGAAATCATACATCATGAAAGCTTGTGCGTTCAAATGTCATAAAAGAATTTATTGTTTTTAGATAACTGACTTTTTCTCCTCAGTTAAACATTCAGAATTCACTGGTAATCTTTTGATCCAACTCGTGTTTAGATAAAAGCTGTGGACCAGAGGACAAGAATTCTTCTGTTCAAGATGGTGAACTCTGGCTACCTCGCTTCGATTGATGGAATCACAAGTGAGGGGAAAGAAGCCATGGTGTTTAAAGCATCAGGAGGGATGTAAGTTGTAATTTAGTAAGAGGCTCAGCTTTAGCTCACATTTAGTACGGTACCAGATATAAATACATTTTAGACTGGCCGGCCAGAATCGGAGGATTAAAGAACTGACTAATACTTACTAATAGTGTCTAACACAAAACATTATAATTATTGTTATGATAACAATATTTTTTGTTTGCAACGCAATTATTTTAGGAAGGATGAGTTGGAGTTACCCAAGCATGTGATTCTAAAAGTTTTTAAGACGACCATGAATGAGTTTCGAACTCGGGCAAAGTATGTTCAAGGTGACCATCGGCTGTCTAAGGACGTGTACAAGAAAAATAATCCTAGGAAAATAATCAAACTGTGGGCAGAAAAAGAGTATTTGAATCTAAAGAAGTAAGATGTGTTCTGTTGTTAATTATGTTTTTTTTTTAATGATTTCAAACATAATCCCAAAGTCTTTTAACAAAACAATGAAATTATAATGTGATACAAAAGATCAAAGTAAGTGCAGCACGTCTTCTTTTTATACATATTAAGTGTATATAATTATAATAAATTATAATAAATTATAATATTAATTGCTGTAAAACTGTTAATAGCAGCATAATTTCATCTTACTCAGGATGCGTAGAAGCAATATTGCATGTCCCACTCCTCTGACATTAAAGAAACATATTCTGGCTATGACCTGTATTGGTGGTGAGCACCCGGCCCCTAAGCTAAAGGAGATACGTCTCGGCCAAGATGATCTGAAGCTGGCTTATGAACAAACTGTTCAGGTTGAATATTATCTTTTTTAATATATATATATATATAAATTCTAGCCATTATAACCGGTGTCGTTGGGGGTTTGCATGTGCAAAAATCTTCTAATACGTCGTCAGCGTTAAAAATAATCCAGTTACAAAAACTTCTTGTAAGCATTGAATTCGGGGCCCTGCCCGTTTCAGTTAATATTCAGGCTAAGCCAGGTCTAAAAACAGGATTTAAAGACCAATCGAACTTTCAATAAATGTCTTATGATAAAAAGATATTCACCAATGCATGGCCGTTTATCAAAACGACAAATTGATTTATCCCTAAGATAGGGGCTCTATAAGAAAAAATTCATTTAAATATTTAAGTTAAATCTTAAAATTGATCCCATTAAAATGGGATGGACTCACCAATTAAAATCAGATGGACTTGGCAGAGATGTTGCCTTCTAAATTTTTACAGTTGGGGGCCACATCGCCTAAAGGACTTAATCTTTCATATTTTACAGCATTGATTACCGGTATCTAAGGTTGTAAAATGAACCAATTTTATTTTAAAAGTTGTCCCATTAAAATTAAAGTCAGTTGCAAAACACCAAAGGTATAGCATTTTATTCAAAATAAATTTAGGGCCCTTCTATTCATCTGATGATCTTTCAGTTCTGGATCATGTGTAGATACCATTTCAACCAGTCAAGATAATTAAAGACAAGTTTTTATTTTATTATAAGTTAAGCCAAAAAGATATTTGAAATAGTCCTTCAAATTTTGGAACCTCCCAAACTGATTTGGAACTTTCTGAAAACTTTTTTTTTAAATTAAAAAAAACTTAAATTCTGACTTCATTACATTTGAGGAATGTCATAGTGACTTCATTACATTTGAGGAATGTCATAGTGACTTCATTACATTTGAGGAATGTCATAGTGACTTCATTACATTTGAGGAATGTCATAGTGACTTCATTACATTTGAGGAATGTCATAGTGACTTCATTACATTTGAGGAATGTCATAGTGACTTCATTACATTTGAGGAATGTCATAGTGACTTCATTACATTTGAGGAATGTCATAGTGACTTCATTACATTTGAGGAATGTCATAGTGACTTCATTACATTTGAGGAGTGTCATAGTGACTTCATTACATTTGAGGAGTGTCATAGTGACTTCATTACATTTGAGGAATGTCATAGTGACTTCATTACATTTGAGGAATGTCATAGTGACTTCATTACATTTGAGGAATGTCATAGTGACTTCATTACATTTGAGGAATGTCATAGTGAGTTCATTACATTTGAGGAATGTCATAGTGACTTACAGAAACATTCAAAGCATGTTAATATTTGTTAATATGATCTTAAAACCCTTATTCAAAAATTAAAGCAGACAGTAGACTGTCAACGCCATTTTACCATGTTGACCTACGTCCATCACTTCACATAGAGCCTTATATTGTTATCTAAGCCTACTGTTGTTTGTAAAGCTTATTTAAGGAAACATGAAATAAATGCACGTGACCCCCTGAAGCGGTGAATATTATGAGTTTAAAACTCTCCAGTTTTTCAACATAGATTTGGTCTTGATCTATCCATTAATTGTAATTTTATTTATTTATCTCATATAAAAATTACAAAACGTGGCCCCCCCCCTTTACTTAAAACAGGATTTTTTTTTTAAAATTCAAACCTGTCAGTATTCCCTTTTCAATAGTGAAGTGTAATAACTTTGTACCCCAGGCTTTATCCAGATTCAGTAATGTATGTAGTGTCCTGCAGCACTTTTCACTGTGAAACCACTGTGTCAGTACGTGTGTACTTATTGTGTGTGGCATTTAATAATCTAATAACCATTCTTCTACAAAATGTACATACCGCAGTAACTTTATATACAAAAGGGAAACCAACCGTCAATTGAAATAGCTCTTCATGTCGCACATTGTGTCACTGAGAAAATGCTGTACTCAAAAAATGCCCATTCAGCGGCGTTTTTTTTTTACTAAATGCTGATTTGCAAACCTCCCTTTCCCACTATGTAAAGCTGGTAATAAAAATTACTAAAAGAACCCCCAGGAGGGTACGCTCTTAGGTACCGGTACGCCCAAGACCCTCTTAGGTACGGGTACGCCCAAGACCCTTTGCACGCCCCTAAATAAGATACATACAAAAATAGAATTTAGAGCCTTTTTTTTATATACAAAAAATCACCGATGGGTGCTCTAAAGCAGAAGTTGCTCATTGGTCTTGAAATTTTATACATCAAATTAAATTTGGCAACATATGTGCATGCTTATTGGCATCAGAAGTTTATACAAACGTTTTTATTCAACATCACAAAGTGGCATAATTTATACGAAAATATGGTAAACATTTCTCATATTATTTCAATATTATCAAATTCTTTGGATATTTTTTACAATTTAATTTTTTTCAAATACATTTTCTATAGCTTGTGAAGAATCTTTACCAAAACTGTGGCCTGGTACATGCAGATCTGAGCGAGTATAATCTACTCTGGCATGAGGGCCAAGTCTGGGTTCTAGACGTCAGTCAATCTGTTGAAAAAGAAAATCCTAGTTCACATGATTTTTTGCTGCGTGATTGTAGAAATGTCTGTGACGTAAGTAATCACTGAATCGTCTGTTATTTTTAAAGTTTGTTAGAAGAAATTATAGACTTTAAGAACCTTTTGAAAATTATTGAATGATAGACTTTGAAAGATTAAATTGTTAAATAAAGAACTGTAAAAAAAAAACAAGTGGCTGTTTTAAAGTTGCAATAAATTGTCCGCTGGAAATAACTAAATTTGATTTCCACCATGGAATCTCTAAAATGTAAGAGTGGGTCCTAAGGTATTGAGTTAATTCGTACATCAGTTACTTGTAAGAGCAATTAAAAAAGATCTCTTATCATATACACGGTACATACTAATGTGCTGTTATTTTATTTGTGAATTTCAGTTCTTCCGACAAGCGGGTGTACCAGGGGTGAGCACGGCAGAAGATTTATTCATGGATGTAACAAACTTTTCACTTCAGGGAACAGGAAACGTATTTGCCACACAGGTTTGTTGTTTTTTTTCCTCTTTTAAAACATGTTATTTTAAGTAAGCTACTATACCTAAATGTATGGAATCTTATAATTGTCTATATGAATGCTATGTACCCACTGACCAGGATAAGGGGTACCATTACACATTTTTTAATAACAATTACTTGGTTTTTTTTTTATTTCTTAACACAGTGAGTGTGAGGCTATAGGGTTACCACAAATTTATTTATAGTGTATAGCAGTTGCTGGTGTTTTCTTTCATAAAATTGTTCCGTCAGGTTTCTTTAAGTCTTGTGCCTTAGGTCTGCACACTGGTTGAGTTGCTTGGACAAGAGTTAGCTTACTGACACTGTTCAACTCTTAAAAACTTAAAATGTGAAATGCATAGAATAAATCTACTTTTTTAAAGCAGTTTGCTAGATACGGGTAATTGTTGTAACCTGCCCCCGGGGTCAAATTCCATGGCTGGATCTTACACTTTGGTTTTGTATAGAGAGATGGGGGGGAGGGAGAGGAAAGTTTGGGTGGGGGGGGGGGTGAATATTTAAAAGTAAATGTTGTGTTGATTAGCAGTTTGTGTCCATCTGAGTATTCTTAGACGCAATAAATGATGACATAGGGGACCAGATTGATGTTAAAATTGTAGTTGTAGTAAGTTGTAGTGGCGTGTTATTTTGAAAAATTGTGAAAATTTGAACTGCGAGGGTTTTGAGGAACCTTTTTATATATTAAGGAGTTTCTTTTATGAAAGAGTGCTTCAGGTCTCATGAACTTTATCTATTGCAGAAATTGAGAAAGATTGCCACAATGATTTGCCAACAGTCAGTAATCTTTCAATAAAAATATAATTTTCTATGTTCTCCAGGTCCAAAGATACAATAAATCAGAATATTCCTTTGACTTTTACTTTGAGCAATCCGAGGAGGCAAGAGACGAATGTTTAGATCTGGATGACAGCAGCGATGACAGTGAAGACGAAGTTGAAACTGAGGAATCACAATCTAAAGACATTGTGTCCAACATTGATAAAACAAACCAAGAACCAAGAATTGTTTTAGACTGCAGCGACTGTTTGTGATTTGAAAAAAGAAGAGCTGGATATTGAAATGTTTTATTTGACAGATTTCAACATTTCAAGAAAATATAAATAAAATGTATTTTTCTGTTTGAATAATTTAAATAAAAATTAATAAAATCAATGCGACCTTTGTCATTGTTTACTTAATTTTCCTTTGAGAGGTGTTCCTGTCAGACGTGACCAACTATTGTAAATGATGGTGGACGTGACCACCTGCATTAGGCAATTACTACAAACTGATGTAAATGATGGTGGACGGGACCACCTGCATTAGGCAAAAACTACCAACTAACGTAAATGATTGTGGAGCAAAGGTTGCAGGTCTAAAACCTAAAGCTAGTATCATGGATTAGATAATGCCATAGATAGTATCATGGATCAGATCAATGTTATATTATTTTCAGTGAAGAATCATTTTATAAATTATAATTATACCTGCAGAGTAATAATGGGAGTAAATGATTGTGGAGCAAAGGTTGCAGGTCTAAAACCTACAGCTAGTATCATGGATTAGATAATACCATTAGATAGTATCATGGATCAGATCAATGTTATATTATTTTCAGGGAAGAATCATTTTATAAATTATAATTATACCTGCAGAGTAATTATGGGAGTCGCAGTTAGATTAGGAGAGTGTATGTTCCAGTGACATCTGTAGTTATATTTTATTTTCGATTCTAATTAGAAAGTACATTACAGTAAAAATTTCCAATGGAAGTATTTACTCAAAATTTTAAAAATATTAACTAATAAATAATGAAAAGAGATGCAGGTTGCGACTGCAGAAGAATTCTTACAAGGTTTAAAAAAAAGTCACTCTCCAGTTTGCAGACAGCTAAAGATAAAAAATCCCTTTAAAACTGCAGACATTTACTGGCTCCTCCTTGTGTTACCCATTTCTCACCCCATATAAGTTAAGGGAGCCTACTCTTTGAATTTGTTGCCTAGTAGGAGGTGAAAAATATAGGATGGGAATAATGGGATGCATGTTTTCAAATTGAAACTATGAAGAATAAAGAAAAATACTTGTAAAAATTAAAATAAAACACACTAAAAAAGAAAGAAAATCAATTTAAAAAATGACAAAATCGTTTTAATGTCTTCATTTCTTAAATTAAATATAGTAACAAAATGGTCACATTACCACACCCACCCCCCCCCCCCAAAACAATGCACACACAATGGTAAAATATACCAATATACATCAAAAAATTTTTTATTTAATAATGACCAGTATTTTTTGTCCAGAATAAAAAGACACTGGAAGTTACCTTGCACACTTAAGTGCTTTTTGTTAGAAATAAAGCTAAATAATAACTGGCATTTGAAAATTGTAACCAGAAGCATCTGATAGGTTGCATGAACCAGTGACTTCATAAATCCTCTGTGCATAACTGAATGAAATGAAAAATAAACAAGATGTCATTCTCACAAACTCAAAGCAGACATCAGATACTCAAACAGGAACATAATAGAATGATAAAAGTGATGGTTGAAGCAGTGCTATCTGGCATCAAAAACAATCACTGGACTATAGTCAAGGAATTTCTCTCTCTTTAGGGATTAACATACTGGTACTCCAATAAACACTTTAATTATAATAATGTAAGCATTTTAGTAAATTTTAATATAATTAAGAATAATATTGTACTACAGGAAGCAATGATTTTGAACCTCATATAATTTATGAGAAAAGATAGATAATAGGATTGCAGGTGATATCTAACTGCATGCACCAATCTAGAATCCAGAAATATAACCAGAAAAAAAAGGATACGTCTTCTCGTTCTCTTTTTGTACATTATCCTGTATCCACACTCTCTGCAACGAATGGGATCTCTTGCCTTTATCTCATTCTCTGCATGGCACTCTGTAAATAGACCAAATACATTACTACCGGTACAACTAAGCTTACTGGTGCCTTGCAATTGTAAACATCCATTGTCATGTGCTCAAAGTGAGGAAAAAAAACAATAACTTTTTAAAATACTACTCAAACAAATACTGTGAACAAAATCAAAAACACATTGAAGCTCGTGTGTATATGATTTTAAATATCTTACCTCCACAGATGTAGATCATAGTCTGCTGTCGAGGAGGATTCAGGGGATTGTCCTTACCCTGGTCCATGCTTGGTGTGGCAGACATCTTGAAAATAGTTTTAAAACATTATGTTATCGACACAAACATTTAAATGTATAACATGAATGGGCCATAAAATCAAAACTACCAGCAGGCTATACCAAATTTCTCAAGACGGTCCTGCCCAACCAGCAAACGAGAACATAATTTATTTTGAATGGCCCGCCAGAGAAATTGTGAAGTTTGGGACAAGTACCTGGTATTCAGATATTCGAGTACCGTATGAGATGTTCAATGAGCAGAAAGCAGGATACAAGCTGTGTTTGTTTTTCAGTTGGTGCAATTCAGTCAAGGAGAAATTGTGAGAGACAGTAGGAACGATTCTTGAAAGTATTTTTTTCATAAACAAACATAAGAATTAATTGTGGATGACGTCATGTCTCTTCCCATGAATTTCCACAACTATGGAAATGTGGTAACAAAAGTTTGACAATGTTTTTGGAAGCACTTTACATCTCTGTAATGACCAACATCAAGCTTTAAAAACATAACACTTTGACTGGTTAACATTTATTTATTTTAGAAAACTCTAATGAGGCCAGATGCTACTGAAAACTATCGCAGCTTAATTAAGAAAGTTACAAGTAAAAATCTCCACTGGCTTCCTGTGAGTGAACCCATGACCACAAAATCCTGTCCCATGGAAGACTATGCACCTGACTATCTAAAAGAACTGATTTCCAAAAATGTAGCCTTAAAGAAACTGCGCTCTTCATCACAGTACCTAATGAGAGTTACCAGTGTGGATGGGCACATAGAGAAGTCATACGGAGTGCACTCTTTTGAAGCTATAGGGCCTAAATTTTGGAACAGTTTGCCTCAGTCTTTGAGGGAAATTGAAATGATAAAAATCATTTAAGAGACATTTAAATACTTTTTTTCTTTAAATAGATTTTATGACAGAGTACTTTGAGCAGAAAATATAGACAGCAAATATGGTGGGTTAAGGAGATAATATCCCATATAATATGGTGGGTTAATGGGATGATACTCCATACAAATGCCCTTTGTTAACTTAAACTTATTGAGTCTTTGGGTACACTTAATTAAGACAGTGTTTCATTCTGTTTATTTTTATTTCTGTGTCAATTGAAAACATTCTCTTATTCTCTTCTATATTTTGAGGGCCAATGACCAATATATTGATCATTCTGACTCCTATGTTTGTAGAGGGGGTTCACGATGTTTCTCTGTACATGGTTTTGAAGAGGATACTTTCACATTCTGCATCAGAATGTGGACAACATTAGATGAGCTAAAACTTATTTGGCTAATTTACATATATTTGAAATTTTTGGTTCATTACATTTACAAAATTAGAGTAATTTTAGGTCATCATATGATATGGTGAGCTCACTGTTCATGTGCAGTGTAATGTAAGCCAATAGGCTTGAATAAATAGGAAACAGTACAAATATTATTTATTTTTCCTTTTTTAATCTTACACTTCCAATTTATACAAATAAAATGAGCCCTTTTTCAACTTTGTGGGAATATTTTGATAAGGACATGAAAAAATGGACATTATAATATTAAATTATAAAACTAAGTAAAATAAGCTATTTTCTAAAATTCCGAATTTGATCAACAATTACAATTAAATTCAATAATTTTAATTTAATTAGTTTAGTTTAAATTACATTCTACAACAATTTAGGAAATTTCCCAGCAATTAGAAATACGGACTTGATATTATAGATTACCTAAATAGAAATAAGGCCTAATAATATTAAGAATAATCTGTGACTGAATAAATTGAATTTAGAATCAGATTTACTGACTGATGATTTCTTCATTTTTTATTTACTCAATCTGTCTACATTTAAGTTTAAACTTTTAGTTTTAGCGTTTTAACTTCTTTTTTAGTGAATTTTAAATTTAAAATCTCTAATCACATCAAATCCTTGTATTATTAATTTCAAATGCATAACATAATTAAAGTAATAGTGATACATTAAGCACGTTTCTTGTTTCCTACCGTATCGTGTAAATATTATTTATTTAACAATGCTCCTTTTTTTTTTTTAAACCGGAAATGAATAAGTTGAAAAATTATTTGTGACTTACCGTTCCTTTCCGAATTGCCAGTATTGCCACATAAAAAATATATTTACTTAAAATTTTGAAATGATTAATCAAATATATTTTCAAAATTCGGTGAATTTAATTAAAATCTATCAAATATTTATTTTTCCTAATAATTAAACTTTAGAGTGATGACAAGAGAAGATTAAAGGCTCGATGGGTGTCTCCTCGCTATTCGGATTGTATATATATTTAACATGAGTTTTTAAATTTTAGTTGATTTTTGCATATTTGATTTAAAATAAGAACATTTTGATATAAATATAAAAACATTTCAGTGTAATATACTTTTCTTTCGATGTTTAAAAAAAATAATACTAAATCATTTTTTTTACTCTACTATCAAAGTTATTTTGGCATCAAATTTTATTCTGTATCTGTAGAAGACAATGGTAAACTGGCCAGTGACTGGTAAATCGTCCCAAAATAAAGCGATTCTCATTGGCTGCTTGGAATTGGACGTAATGTTTGAAAACTGCGAAATTCGTGAAGTGGTAACCATATAAGAAATACGTCTCCCTACCTTTTTTTCTGAGGATTTATGCTATGAGGTAACCTATCTCTGAAAAATGTACATAAAGTTTATTATAATTGTATTTATTTTGTTGTTACAATATTGAATCAAATTGTAAAATTAAGATCCCCCAAAGCTAGGCGCAATACTGCAAATAATATAAAATATATAGTCTAGTATTAGTATTTATTTAGTTTTTATAGCATTTTGAAACCGCCTACCTACTTCACACTCGCGTAACACGAGTTTCAACAGTCATTAGTGTTGTAGGTCTGTTCAAATTAATATAAATAGCTTCATGAAATGTTGCTGATGTCCAGTGATGTAGGACTAAACTAATAGCGCAGACTTTCGTGAAAAAAAAAATGGCCTAGGATGATTTGTTGATCTAAAAAATCTATTTTTTAAATGGCTATGGAGTAGGAGTATGGAATTAAACAGCTTAGAGTTAGACTAATGTGTCTAAATTAAGTCAAGAAGGAATATACATAAACTGGGACTAGTAGAGGACAGTGCCAATCATAAAACGATTGAGAATTTTTTATGATAATGAATAAATGTCAAATGATCATCATTAAAGTTGAAGATCCATTGGCATATAATATATAAGTTAATGAATTTATGATGCATTGCATTAGATCTAATATAATAGGCATAAATATAACTGCAAATCTTTTTTTTTAATACTGAGGATTTTTGTTTAAGGATATTCCCCATCTCCAATATGTGATCGGCTATGTGAGATATCCTCCCGTAGTAATGTTGTCAGAGCTCATACTCTTGAGTTATCTAAAAGATAATCAAAGCAACTCAAAATTTATAACTATGCTTAAACCCAGTCAAATTTTGAATGTTTACAAAATATTGACTTCGATTGTGCGCAGCCAAATAAATAAATTTGTAACTATTTGCCAATAGGCCTTTACATTTAAATTGATATTGGCTTAAAGCACTTCAGGTGTAAGTAACCAGCTGGGCATTGGATAGATACTCAAAGCTGATATTTGAGATAATAATCCTTTCACTTACTTTGTATTTTCAGATGGAGGATGAGGACAATATTGCAGACAGCATATGCTTAGGATACCAGAGGTCATTATCAAATACTAATAGAATGAACAACAAACTTGAAAGTAAACCAGCAATGGAGGTGGCTGACAGGCCCATTGATAACCTAGTCTACAGTACACCATTGATACAGCGTCCTGAAATACATTCATGGTCAGTGCAAACTGCTGTTAGTAATGACAGTGGATTTTCAGATCGCAACTTTAACTTAACTGGTGAATCAAATACAACAGATGCAGCTGACTTTGGATCACCTTTATTTTCAAAATCTGGAGGCCTGTTATCGTCACCAGAAAAAAATTTCAGTAATGGACGCAGGTCAACTCTGACTGACTGTGAATTTTCTCCTGTACAAGAAACAACCTCTATACGAGGAAGGAGATTACTATTTAAGGCTTTTGATACTAGGCCTCCTGCTCTGCAGTTACCTTTGGAAGATTTTGACAGTCTTGAAATGAATGAGCTGAGTTCATTTTCTGACTGTAAATCTAATATAACCAAAGAGATAAAGGACACTGATTTGGGAACATGCAATATGAAAATTTCTTCGTCTGCTGAACAATCCAACAAAATATCTTTAAATAAATGTAATGAAGACAGCAGCTATGCTGGCTCATCCCTTTCTGGGTCAACTGATGATCTTGAATTTAGTCTCCAAGAAATGTCTCTAGAGGAAATGACTTCGTCGTGGTCATCTGGTTCACGGACATCACCATTTAGTTTGAAGCCAAGTTCTAGTCAAGATTCCTTGTCTGATAATAAAATTATGATGCTGAGTGATGAAGAGAGACAATATATTGGATCAGAGTCGTGTTTAAAAGAGCATTATAACCCTTGTTTCCAGACATGTGAGTCGAGAAAAAACAACTTTTCTTCTGATGGACGATTCAAGGAAGCACAAAGTGAATCATCCTTGTATTTAGATCACACATATTTTAAATATAATTCTAGTGCAGCTGGTCCATCACTGAATCACAACCTCACTGTGTGTGTAGGACATTTAGATTCTCAATCAACTACTCATAGAAGAATACCTCCGTTGCCATCAGAGTATAATTTTTTAACTTCAGATACTGTTGTCTGCTTCCCGAGAGAGCAGCCATTATTGAAAAGTCCCAACAAACGTCATAGCTCTGAATTTGAATACGATCTTAGTGTAATGCATAGTCCAACAAAATGTAAAAGAACTCTTGATGATAATGCTAGGGCTCGATCAGTTGCGGAACAGTTACAAAATGGAAAGGTGTGCACATTTACTAGCATATCAGGGGATAAATTATTTCCCGAATGCAAAGCCACAGGAGATACATTTCATGATGAAAAACAGTCTCGTCGTGATTTTGACATGACAGCGTTCTCATCGGGTGATGCAATGTGTGCAATACTTGATTCTGACAAACTGTGCTCTTCCAAAGATTCTTGTGATTCATTATCAGATATTACTCAACAGGGAATACTTATTAAAACTGCTGACAGTGTACTTTCATTACAACGCTTCAAGAAGATTATTCAAAGTTTCTCCCCTTCAGAACCTTCTCGGCTTATTGGCAGAAATGTTGGTGTGAGGAAACTTGATATCGTGCAGAAGCTGAGTCAAAACTTTTCTCAAATTTTGGGAAGTGTCTTTCACCATCTTGACCCATCTGATTTAGACAGGTAAGCTGAAGTTAATATTTCACATCAGATCATGTTCTAAAAGTAACATTTGTTTTAAAAAAATAATTTTTATACAGGAAATGTTTATTACACTTTGGTATTACAATATTTACAGCACAGATGTGCAATGTAAAAAGGGATGCTATTTTAATAATATAACTATTTTATATGAAAGTATTAAAGTTAGCTTAGATGGAACAAAGTCTACTTAACTCAGGGCAATCATGCTTCAATCATATTTCATATCAGGTCATGTTCTAAAAGTAACATTTGTTATAAAAAATAATTTTATACAGTAAATGTTTATTACACTATGGTATTACAATATTTACAACACTGGTCAACACAGATGTCCAATGTAAAAAGGGATGATATTTTAATAATATAACTATTTTATATGAAAGTATTAAAGTTAGCTTAGAGGGAACAGTCTACTTAACTCAGGGCAATCATACTTGATGATTCATTCACTGAACATTGCAGTGTGTGTCAAGTAAACAGTGTTTGGAAAAAGGCCCTCTACAATGACAAGAAAGCGTATGACAGATACAAAATGTTTAGAGAAGCAACCAGAAGTGCATTACAGGAAAAGGGACACGGAAAGGTGGGTTTTTTATCTGTTGTCAGAGCTCAAACAACATGGTCATTGGGTCTTTCATTTTTGTAAATGTATTTTTACCTTGATATTTTTCCCCTAAACCCCCCCCCCCCCCCCCCGGAAGATGAAGTTACTTGTGTACAAATCTTTACAAATGTACTTGCAACTCTTTCAACAGGAGAACTGTGGTGAAAAGCTTCTAAGTGGGCCATTGGCACAAAATCTGACAACTTCAAAAGGTCACTTGACATGCATGCAGACGCAAGCTCAAAAGATAGAGAGTAAACCTCAACCAGCTGTTCTTGAGGTAAGCATTACATTTTCTAAGACTCATGGACTTCACTTTGATCAATGTAACGGCAGGAGTATTTTACAATACAACAAGTTTAAGCATCATATTTCCTTCCTGTTAAATACTATTATAATACTGGTACACCTAACAATAGTGACATTTTATATACAATAGCCCTAGGAAAAAAAGAAAATTATATCCACATGATAACCAAACACAGGCCTCTCCACCCCCCACCCCAATTTGGTCAATTATAAATATAACATGGTAAATTCAATAACAGTTTATAATTCAGCTGTTATCAAATTCATCATCTAAGTCCATTTACAAAATCACCATTGACTGTGCTATAAAAATATCTTTAAACGCTAAGATCAAAGTTGTTTATCCATTGGGGAAGGTTGTAAACATGTTAGAATGCGTGTGCAGCTAAGATGAGATTATTCAGGAATGTTTCTTGCTATGTTATAAAAATTGTTATATTTATATGTGTGTGTGTGTGTATATATGTGTGAGAGCACCAAATCATGTGGCTATAAAGTTTTAAAGAAAAATAATAATAATAATAAAGTTTATTTGAAAAACACGCTTCATCCCCAAAAGCTCGAAGCGCTGTACAAAGTCAACCATATTAAAAAGAGAAATAAAAACAATTTAAAATTTACCACATTTAAAAACAGACACAACAATATAAAGCTACATACGAGCATACCCAGTCAAAGTCTTTCATCCCGTTTCAACCATAAGCAACACAAGCCAATATACATTAACTGAAAAAGATGGTAGATTAGCATCACCCCAAAAGGTGTTTGCGAAATAGATGTGTTTTTAAATCGGTTAAAGGACTCCAGTGTCTGGCTGTTTCTGAGAGCAACTGGAAGTGCGTTCCAAATTGTTGGGCCGGCAAATACAAAAGTGCGCTTTCCGTAAGTCTCAAGGCGAACACACAGTATCAATATTTTGCCATTATCGGATGAGCGGAGCTCTCTAGTGGGTACATAAGGCGTCATGAGTGCTTTGAGATAAGATGGCGTCAGGTCATGTAAGCAGCGGTAGCACAAAGTTGCAATTTTGTACTCTATGCAAACGCGGACCGGCAGCCAGTGCAGCTCCCTCAGAAAGATTATTTGTTGTTTCTCCTCCAGACTTTTGGTTACAAATTGACATTTCACTTCACATATAACATATGTAATTTATTTGCAGCCCAGCTTTTCACTCAGGAGTGGTGACCAATTGCGTAGATGTCCACACTGCCAAGGGTCAGCAGTAGTCCAACCAAATCAGGACAGGGCGATCTGCATAGATGTGAAGTGTGGCTATGATTTTTGCACCCAGTGTTTTGCTGCTTTTCATCACCCAAAACGCTGCAAGCCTCTTTGCAGAGCATCCTCCGTAGCTGCCGTCGCTGGGACTAGGAAGAGTAAGAAAAATCTAAAACGGCTGTGATATGCTGAAAATTTGGTGGTGTTTTTTTCAAAGTCATGACCCTTGTTCTTTTTGTTCTTGAAATACTGTAATTTTATGCGAAAATTTCAAGTTCTGGGATTATTTCATTAATCTTATTCATGCCAATTGTGCAGAGCTCAATCATCTTTCTTTCGTCTCATCTCTTGGGTGTAGTTGTAAAATAGCAGTATGAGATTAGTCAGACTGGCGCTTCATTTTTACCAGTATTAGTATTGTTAAAAAGCTTTAAGGCAAATAAGTTTTAAAGTTGCTGCATTCATTGATATTGTCAGTGCAAGAGTGTCATTTTATTTTTGTAAATGAAGTGAAAATTCAGGCATAGAAATGTACAGACTTCTTGTCAGTGTTAGTGCACTTCCTGTCACAGTAACTGAGTTGTTGCACTTCTCGCCAGAGTGTGTGCTCATCATAAATATTCATCATGGCCTTTGCACTAAGTTCAATACGATGAATCATGAAATTTCTCCAATGGTGTTAACAAGTATTACTGTATTATGATACACATGAAATTTCTGGATTGTAATGTTTTTCCTTAAGACCATTTTTAAATTATGGATTCCGTATTTACCTAGGATTGTTCCTTAGCAGGGAGTGTTATGATTTTGAACATGTTTCTTTTCACTGCTGCTTAAAATTTTCAAGTGTAATATACTGTACATAGTTGAAATCCAGTGTGTTGAAATAATATATAACTAAATAAGCTATGGATAATGCTCAATTTGTAACATGCATCTGATGTAATAGAAAGTAAAGGACTATGTCAAATGACACTTGACAAGAGCTTTTTCACATGTGATAACATTTTTTGTAAAAAAAAAAAAATGTTATGTACATCATTTCAAGTTTTTTTTTAAAATTAAATTTTTATTTTTTTAAGAGCTTTTTCACATTTGAAAACAATTTTTGTAAAAAAAAAAAAAAAGGGTAAGTACATCATTTCAAGTTTATTTTTAACATGAAATTTTTATTTTTTAAAAAATCAACATTTTTAACAAATTATTTATTGGCCACCATTGATTTGATATGTGACAGCCGTGTACCATGTTTTGATATTTGTATTTGTATCTTAAATGTAAGACAACTGATTTGATATGTTTGATGAACCTTGTAGATGTTTACTTCAAGTTGATGTTTTTAGTAAATTTATCAAATGAACTGATTTTTACCTTAAACTGCTTTAAGTTAATATAAAAGTAAAAGGGATTATGTGCATTTGCTCAGAGTTTGTTGTTTCTTTATGATTACTGTATGTGAGAAGTCCTATGGCAAAACCTTCTAAGTAACATCTGCTTGATTGAAAAAAAAAAGCCATTTCTGTACCAGAAGATTAGATTTACCCAGTATAGCAAGTATTGCATTTATATTTCTTTTTTCTAATTTATAATGACATTTTAGACTTAAATTTAAATTGAATCTTTTGAAGAAGATAAACACTTGACTCAAAAAAAAGTACCAGTACACACAAAACATTCAGTACATTTACAAGTTAATAAAGCATTTCCATGGTGGAAATTTACTTCAATTATTAGATTTTCACATTAAAGTTTAACTACTAAACTAATTTTATTTTCCCAGCCATTTCAGCCCCACCTGAGCAGCTAAAAAGGGGCCATCCCTATTTATTAGAGACACACTGAAGGGAGGGGGTGTTGGTGTGTGTAGGAATTAAGATTTAGGACATTTGTATGTGGATAAGCTGAAGAGTTGAACAATGCATTTTCTTATTTGATGAAACTAATAGTTGGACAGATTTTTACTATGATGATGCTTAACACAAATAAAGAAGACGGGAGGATAATTTATAACTTTTTCAAAGTTATCTGTTTTGAATGCATAAATAGGCATAGCAAATGGACTCGTATGTTGAATTTGACATAGTTCTTCAGTTTATTATGCTAGCTATAGTAATACAGATTCCTTTTCAATTTAAAAGCTGATGTCTTACTTGTCACGAAAGTATTGACAAGCTATCAAGATCAGTTAACCATCATTTAACCTTTTTTATTTTTTTTTACTTAATGTTAATGGAGGAAAATGTCATGTAGATAAACAATACCCACTGATTTTCAGCTCTAAATAAAATATACTTAAACAACAAAGAGGAGAAGAAAATCACACCCGCTTTTAGTTTTAGAATGAGTTAGCACGTCAAATAATGATTAATGCTAGGCATTGATAGTTTTTCATACATTTTTCATTATTTAACAGCAATTAATAGCACACTTGTTAACACTGCAGTATCTAGTAAGCAAGCGGATTTGTAGTATACTTTACTAGGGTACTCAAAGCAGTTGCTACCTGCCATTCTACGCTGCCTTAGTCTTAACAGATGATAACGTTACGACCAAGGCAGCGTAGTTGTAGTAGCTCTATTCTTTTTTGCAGGCTATGCCACAGAATTGGCTTTTTTTTGCCCAAAATAAGTGTGTGATCAGCTTAGGAAGATGACTGTGCTAGTACCATAACTGAAACAACACCTTGCTATTGCCTTAACTTAAACAATGCTTTGCTGTTGCCATAACTGAAACAACACCTTGCTATTGCTACAACTTAAACAATGCTTTGCTGTTGCCATAACTGAAACAACACCTTGCTATTGCTACAACTTAAACAATGCTTTGCTGTTGCCATAACTGAAACCATGGTGGAAATGGGGATGGTCCATAGTAATCATTCCTGAGAGCAAGCCAAGGTGGAATTGGAGATGGTCCATGGTAATCATAGCTGGATGATTCCCGAGAGCAAGTCAAGGTGGAATTGGAGATGGTCCATGGTAATCATAGCTGGATCATTCCCGAGAGCAAGTCAAGGTGGAATTGGAGATGGTCCATAGTAATCATAGCTGGATCATTCCTGATACGCTTTGCAGATCATTAGTTTATGGATTTTTGGTCTTTTTATTATGTGGACTGCATTGATTATTCCTACTTGCATTAGGGAACCAAGGAGCATACCTCCACCACTTATTTGAATTCCTACCCTGACAGGGTAGTAGGCACACCACCATATAACTTGTGGTTGAAGATAGGTTGATAAATCGAAACATGTTCTTTGACATCAGATTTAGTTGAAACTCCATTCTGTATTTGTTGACAAAATTGACACTTATCACAAGTTGTTGCCAGGAAACTGCTTTTTTGGTTTGAGGCAAACGCCACCTTTCATCTTTTTGGCACATAGTGGCGACCCCTTCCAATTGGTGCGTATGATGTATCATTGTAAATGAATGGTTACTTGCAGTATCACCAACTCCTATTTAAGTTTTGACACTTGAGAAACAGAAGTGGCGCCCCTTTACGAAATAAGGTATTCCAACTTCAAAGATCAAACGTTGCCCTATTCCATCTCACATTGGGTAACGTACCTATCCGTTGGAAAAAAAAAAGAACTGCTCATGTTCCCATTTCAATGGTCAGCAATACACTACACCTTTCCCATTTCCAGGATGATAGTCATAATCAACATAACTGTTTAAAACATTACAATCTCTTTACAAAGTGACCAATCTTTTATTTTTTTACTTAAACACATCAGTTGATCAGATCCACATATGAATAGCTGGTATTGATTAGTATTACTACCAATGATTTTGACACAGGAACAGAATGGTTTCAAAAGTGGACACCAACAAATTAAAAGTCTACCATTTCAAAAAAACTTAACTCTGTTTTAAAATCCTAACACAAATTAATATAGATACTCTGCCTAATTAATGAATGAATATGAAGTGATGCTTGTCAAAACCTGTGTGCATTAATGAACAGCAAAAGACTGATTCAATGAGCTTATAGCAGTCCAGTGCCACAAGTAGATTATTTGAAATGATCACTTAGAACATGGCTTTCTGAAATTTTAAAAAATCTAAAAAACAAGTAAAACAAGTTTCATGTAATTTCAGTAAAAGTTTATCTCCAATCTAATTTTAATCTACGCCTAACATCATCATCAAGGCTGCATGTTAAATGGCGGCAATTTAAAAACTGTAAACAGATGTAACATAATTTTTTTTCTATATGAAGAGCTCTGGGACAACACTTTTTGGCAAGTACAAGAAGAACAATCCTTATGAATTTCAATTTTTTACATGCCAAAGGTGATTGGTAGGGAGATAAAGCCTTTTGTTATTCAACTAAGTTAGCGGTGCACAGATTGAACAATTATGCTAGGAATTAAAGCTATGGCATATATATTATATATATTTATACTATACCCTTAAAATTTTTACAAATCACTTTCAATCTTAGAATCAAAAGTGATTAGTGTCATGATTTTAATGATATTTCATCAGGATCAAATTCAAACAATTGACCTTAAGCAGGGTTATCTGTGGCATATAGTATGCAAAATAAACTAGAATTCTTTTTCTTTGATATTGTACCTTGTTAGTGAAATACTACAACTATTTGCAGAATAGCCTGGATGCTTACACTTACAAATATAAAAAAAAAACAATCCAATTTTAGTTCCTTCAGAAAGAATTTTAATTGATCAGTTTCAAACATTTTCTTTTCCTGCTGTTATTTACAAGTCATGACCAAAGGTTTGAAAATAAATTTCCCATAAATTAAACTGAGGAATCTCCTTCACATCTGTGAGCACATTACTCTCTAGGCAAATTATCTTATTAGAAATCTTATTAGAAATCATACATAGCTTTGCACTATGTGGCTACAGAGCAGTGAAGTAATCAAGGGTTGCAATCATTTACAGGCTCACCTGCCGAAAACCATGTAAACCACAGATCATTTAGATCTTGGCCACGATGTTAATCCCTGCTTCCAAAGATCTGGGATATTATTACGACGACGTTATTTAAAAATGTGGGATCGAAAATCACGTGATCCCTGTCCACTTTAAAGACGTGTAGATGACCTTCCTGTTCTTATCTAACGCGCAGAGAAGCGCCGTCTTCCTCACGGTGGTTGCCAGGCGACCAAGTGTAACAATATCTAGGCTTGGGATTTCATCAAACTGGCTTCTGCAGACGGCTATGTAGTGGGAATGGTATCTTGCAGGATCCCCTTTGAGAAAGCAGAAATATGTTCAAGTCAACACTTCTAATGTTCAAGTCAACACTTCTAATGTTCAAGTCAACACTTCTAATGTTCAAGTCAACACTTCTAAAAATTAGAGGTTAAATCACAAGCCAAAACACAATAATAATTCTTAAAACAGCAAGTAGGTAACTGAATTTAGACCAAAACACAATATCAATAATTGTTTAAACAGCACTTGGGTAACTGAATGTATAACATCAATTTCTAACACAATTCAATTTTTTTCTTTCTTGTACCGGTATTTACAACAAATAACTCACTAACAGTAGGATACAAACATTTATAAGAATATATTATTTATGTACAAAAGAAAAGTACCGGCACAAAGAAAGTTGGTAAATAGAACATTCAACAACATACCCACTTTGTAACAGTTGTAACTAACAAACATATTTTGTTGAAGGTTTGCGATTACTCTCTTAAAAACTCTCTTAAAACGTTTTCCTCACGAAGGGCTCTCTCGCCGCCCTGGCCTCCCATCAAACATCTAGTGAGGGACATTCGGTCAACAGATGCGCTACAGTTTTTGGGACCAGGCTGCAATAAAGGCCGCCCAAAGCTAAAAAACCCGCAACAATCGTCTCTCTCCCAAGGCGAAGGCGAGAGTTTTACTTTCGGCAGGCTCTCCCCAGGAGAAAGTAAGAAAACACAGCCTGGCCAATATTCAGACACCTGGCTAGTACAACAGTTGTAACTGATCAGTTCAATTGATGGTCCTCATAGGGAACAGATAAGCTATAAAAAGAAAGCATTAAACAACATTTCTCACCTGGATACACAAGAAAATCCCCTCCGAACTTTGACCCTGAGGTCAAGTAGAATCCTTTATTCCACAAATCTCTGAAGACCAGGTATCTCATTATTTCTTTCTCTGTGCACGGATAGAGCCAATCAAAGGTGCGTTGAACACTCTGCTTCCATGGGCTTTCTTTGGAAATACAAATTTAAAATTTCAATCTCAACCTCAGCAAATGAATCTATGTATGGTACCAGTACACAAAACTCAGATTGAAATTTCCAAATTAACTAAAAATTGTATCATGTGATGGGCCAGCTCATTTGTATTAAATTAATTTAATTGCTTTCCCCATTTAGCTGTAACTTCCAATTCCCCTTTTCCAGAGGTGGACAATCTTTTCTTTACATTCTTCTTCATGTTTCTAGTATGCTGTGTAATTTTTTTAAAATCTATTTCTTTTAAACCATAATGCCCAGGGGTGCAGCTAGGGTAAGTATATGGTAGAAGGGTTGCTAGGCACCCTGAAACATCATAACACATTGCAATTCCCTGTGTGGGCCATCATAACATATTGCAATAATCTATGTGGTGCACCATAACAAATAGCGATGCCCTCTGTGGTGCAAAGGGGGGAATTAGCTCAATTAAAACTGTGAATCGTCTTAACTAGAGCATTCTCTACCTGTAAAAATCTGTACCAAAGCATGCTGGGCTGAAGTCTCAGATTTTACGATGTCCTCCACAGTTAGGTGATCAGTTTCAGACTCATTTGTGTCAATGGCTTTCTGGGAGTCACCCACATCAGGACTAACTTTATTTTTCTTGGTGGTCTCGCAACCTGATGTGCTTGCAATCAGCCTAGTTTTTGTACTTCCTATGTTTACTCCCTCTTGCAAGTGTTCGCTAGTTTCTATCTTTCGTTTCTTTGCTTTTTTTCCAGCAATTATATCTTTGAAACGATGTTTAACTTCTTCCTCTCTAGACACTCTATAGAGTTTTTGCTACAATATAAAATAGTCATAGATAGTAATCAAATCTACATTGCAAATCTTTTATGTATTTAACAATTCAACCTGAATTATGACTGTATATTTAGCATTAGATAGGGATAATTTTTTTTTTTAATTTTAAAGGGATTCACCTGCAGATTATGACAATGCTATTCTCTTCCAAAAATGGTCTCTGCTGTGGCATTTAAAAAAATAGTTTACACATTAAATTTAACACATGGATATGTCATCAGTTAAACTTACATTTAAGATAAGATAAGATTCTTTTATGGATCCAAATAAATGGAAATGTCTTTTGACTGCATTATACATTTTCAACACAAAAATAAAACAAATGAACACAAGATATTTATAATAAATTATTTCAAACAGCCATTCAGTGAGTTCTCTTGGCAATTATCAGGGACTTATGAGTTCTCATTCAGATGTGTGACTTCAGAGGAAGCACGCCAGTAAATTCGTACAGATTGGGGAACAAAATAATTTTTATATCTGTCAGTCCTCGCCCTGATGGAAAGAATTTGTCCCGAACAGCCCGATCCTAAGTATCTGTGATGAAGAGGGTGGGATGTATCATCCAAAATGTGTTATGTTCCTCGCTTTCTTAATTAGTCGGTTTATGCGGTGTGTAATATCAGACGTTGAATTCCCACACCAGCAGGTAATACTGAAATTTAGCAGGCTTCCAATAGTTGCACTGAAGAATAAGTTAACGACTTGCTTGTTAATGCAGAAATTGTACAGTTTTTTGAGGTAGAACAGTCTTTGGTTGAATTTCTTATACAGCATTTGGCCGTGCTCATGCCATGTTAGCTTATTATTAATGGTGACACCTAAGTACTTATATGCCTCCACTTTCTCCACATTTTGATTTTTTTATGTTGAGATCTGTAATCTGGTGTTTCCCCCTCCTGAAATCAACAACCATTTCTTTTGTTTTTGAGACATTCAACTGGAGAAAATTTTCATCGCACCGATTGATAAAGCTTGTAACTAAGTTGCGGCATAGGCCTTCTCCTTCAGATATTAAGCCAACAATGGTGGTATCTTGAGCAAATTTTAAGATTGGAACGGTGTCGCTAGAGCTTTGAATATCATTTGCATATATTGTATACTGTGCAGGAGAGAGAACGCAGCCATCCCCAAATTCAAAATTTATAGTATTTACCACATATGTCCTTATATCTTATTTATTGGGGACATTTTCATTTTCAATATATTTTTTTTAAAACTTGATTTAGTTTATGGTTAACTCTTTGAAGTCAATTCAAAGTCAAAGCAACTTCCCTAACTTCCTGTGCCCTAAAGTTCTAAAATTTGTTGAGTTTGGGTACATGATAGGATACAATAAGTTTTCAAGGAGCCCATAATCATTATCTTCCGAATAACAGGCAACTACCAAGTCCCCATTTTCAATGGAGCTGAAATTGGTATACAGTTCCTTCTCAATGATTCTAATAGAACAAAAAAAAAAAGAAATTAAAGGGAGATAAAGCCAATGAGGAAATTACCAAATTATAAGACTTTATAAAAAAAGATATATATATTATGCACACTTGTTTGTAAATAATGCTATTCAGGAATCAATAAAAAGTTATTCACTTTTAGTTTAGTAATAACAGAAAAATTAAGAACCACCTGAATGTGAAAATTTTCGTTTCGAATATTTTTGAAAGCTTCTTCTCTGATTTTCAGCATCTTTGAAGAGACAGGATCATCTGTGACGACCGCAGCTGCATCTAAGAGAAGAAAAATACAATTTTATTTTGGAGCATTCTTCAGCTAATAAAAATCCTTACCTAAAGCAGATCATTAAATAAACAATGTGCTGATTTTTTAAAGTAAAAAAAAGGTTTTAATTTTTTGTTCCACTGACCAATGTCAACCAGCAGTTTAGCTTCTTCGGGCATTAATTGTAAAGGAAGACCCAACTGGTTGTTTTGTCTTGGAGCTCGAGGTAGGCAACCTGTCAATTTTCCTACAATCCTGCATTCCTCTCTTAGCATCTGCACATCTGTATATGAAGCACATATATTTTGTTTGAATCGACTATTGAATTTTATTCCACTTTTCTTTTATCTTAAACTGTAAAAAGAATCTATCTAAATTTTTCCCCACAGTACCTAACAAAAAAAAAATTTCTTTTAAATATTTTATAATACAACCAGTAAATTATAATAATAGATATCAGATAGGTCTAATTTTTATTTATTTAGCCTAAGTTTAATAATTAAAAAACTTATTCCGTTGCCTATGGCCTGCACTAACATATTACTGGTTTATATAATATAATTTTTATAATACTATACTATATTAATATTATATTTATATTGACTTCATTGACTTCAAATATTCCATTCATTATGTGAGTTAGGATGCATGCTGCTAATTAGGTCATGACCCTTTGAATAAATACTAAAAAAAAAACAAATGCTTGCCTTCAGCATTCCAGATAAAAAATCCACCATGAATGTAAAATATGTTGATTTTTCCATCAATGAATAAATTTGATTCCTCACAACTGTCTATCTCATTCTCATCACTAAGAGGTTCCTCATCTTCATCAAAGTCTTCATGGTCTGTATCTTCTTGACTTTCTTCATCGTCCAGTGTATTATTGTGACAAAATTTTGATTGTCTTTTAGTTTTGTTTGCAGGAGCTTCAAATTCATCGTCATCCGAGTCATCATCTAATATCTCTAAAACATCATCATCATCATCTGTAATAACCTCAACAGTTTCAGGACATGTTGATTTTGCATGATTATCTGTATCATTGTGCACTAGCGACAGTTTGGTTGGCTGGTTCTGAGTATTGCTACTTAACTCATTTTCAACAGTAACAGGCTTAGTTTCATCACATTGCGCTGGTGGAGATGGGGAGGAAAGCAATAACATTTCCTCATCTTCATCGACGTCACCGGCGTGAGTAAAATCAAGCTCTAGGCGAGCTATTTCTCCATCAGCTTCTTTGTTAAATGTATCATTATTTGAGCTCGACTGCCCCAAACCTAGTATTTCATCATCGCTTTTATCGTTCGAAGCCATAACATAAACAAAGTATGTTAGTAATGAGTAATTGTTTCTTGTTTGTTTCTTCTTCTGACTCGAGGCATATCCACATTGAAAGATCGTTTCCGTTTAATCAAAGAATCGAAAATATCCGCAAAAAATATGGTCCATAACAATTTCGTACATTTTCGGCATCATAAGAAACTCCCGCGAAATAATCACGTGACATACTTGGCGCGTTCTTGTTTGTTTTCCTCATTCCATACCATTTTTACATTTATCTTTAATTTGATTATCGACAAACCATTATTGATACATTCGTCTTTGCATTCAATTGAATTAAAAACTACCAAGATCTAAACTGCTATGGCGACAGAAGTTGACCAACGCTTAAGAGAGATCCAAAGAGAGTATTTAGATTTTCTCGATGACGACGTAAGTATTATTAGTGCTAGTTTGTAGTTTTTTAGTCCAATATTAATATTAATATTAAAAACTAATAAGTCTAAGACTAATATTAATATCTAAGAGTATGAGAGACCGTTCCTTTCTTTCATCCTTTCTTAACTATCCCATTAGTTTACTTAACTATTTTCGTTTCTGCACTTTCTTAGGACTAGTTCTTAGTTAGGCAGTTAATTAGGAGTCATACACTTTCTTAGGACACTACAACAACAAACTACAATCACTGCACTGAATCAGAATCTGATTAATAAAATCAGTTACATTGCATTGTTTTATTTGTAACTTAGGCTACAGAAAGTTACTTGGAAATTAAAAGGATACGATGAATAAGATAAGAGTTCGGCTTTACTTTTCATTTTCTGTATGATACTATCTGAGTGTATGGGCTTGGTGTCTTTTGTGATTGTGGGCTTGGTGTCTTTTGTGATTGTGAAACTGAACTGTGATATTTTCTATGAATTAGTAAGATATAAAATTTTCATATTGGACTTTCAATTGTTCATTTCAAAACAGAAACACATTTTAAATATTTTATTATTATGATTAGACCTACACCTCAGTTTAGGCCAATTGTTGAGAATGACAGACAATAGTTCTAGTACTAGCCTTTGCTCTCAAGAATTCATTTTGTTTTAAGCTAATTAAACACGCTACCTACTTGACTTTGAATGGGAAGACAAATCGATATGTGAACACTGGCAAGCAACTTTGATAATAGGGTATGGGAATCGCTTTGAGTCTGAACTAAATGTGATGTCAGAAAATCACTAACCGTATGCTCTTCAAACTTCAATGACATGAACTATGATGAACAGACGATTGAGCTTTTCAAATGTTTCTTGTCTTATGTAATAATTTATTAATTGGAGTCTCAATAAGTTACTGTAATCTGATGTTACATTTCAACAAGAGATAGTGTGTCTAAGATGTTTTAAATAATACTTTTATGGAAAACAGTTTGATGAGTTTGTGAGTTTATTCTGATTGTATAGGCCACTTAGAATTTTGCACAATCCATCCAGCCTCATAGTAGAATTCTTTAACCGACCCTTGTCAAAGAAAAGTTTGCTGACCCCTGCTCTAGATAGTAGTTTCCCCACCATTTTCGATACTCAGCGTCCTCTACCCCCCAAAAAAAAAAAAAAAAAAATTTACACAATTAAATAATGCCTTTAAAAAGGTAGAAAAAAAAAAAACAA